CCATCTTGCCTTCATATCTACAAAAATCTTCTTAGTTCTCTAATTTCCTTAACCGCGTTTCTATAATCAATTTCTCTTATGCTTTTTTAAACGGGTTGAGGTTGTATGCTTCAGCACTAGTTGATTGTAGTTCTCATTCTTTTTGTTATCTCATCTTCATTATTCTATTTACTATCTTTCTTGTTGTCGAGATGTTTTAGCAAGCAAATATCATCATGCAGCCTCGGCTCTTTTCTAAATTCCTTTTTGGCGGTCTCCATCGTTCTGGTATATTCTTCTTAAGGTGCTCAATCCAACTTTGTGTCCAATAATTCATGTTGAAGTGTTATATACCATTTTTTTTACATTTTCTTTATTTCTCGTACTATTTTTAATTTTTTCTAGGCATAAATCTGGCTTGAAAGAGCTAGAGGTGCTCAAAAAACTTAATGATGCAGATCCTCAGGATCGCTACCACTGTCTTAGATTGTACCGACATTTTTTCCACAAAAATCATTTATGCATGGTTTTTGAGTCTATGCATCTCAATCTTCGGGAAGTTTTGAAAAAATACGGTCGGAACGTAGGATTACATATTGCTGCTGTTCGTTCCTATACTCAGCAAATGTTGCTTGCTCTCAAGCTTATGAGAAAATGTGGTATTCTCCATGCTGACATAAAACCTGACAACATACTTGTCACCGAGAACAAAATAGTTCTTAAGCTCAGTGACTTTGGCTCCGCGTCGATCATACAGGATAATGAAATCACTCCATACCTCGTGTCTCGCTTCTACCGGGCTCCAGAAATAAGTAAGTCATTTATTTTCTATTATATAATTAGCTTAATTTGAATCAGCTGTTTTTGCATTCATTGCCTTTCTTTATTTTGGTTAGTGATCCATTTTGCCAGGTTTCCACTCCATCTGAACTCGGTTGATAATTGATTATCCGGATGAATCGCAACCTTGGCCAGAAGGAAAGGGAAAAAGCTTGAGAGGTAAAATAATTCTCTCAAATCGACGTTGATGCCCAAAACGCGACATGGTAATCAGTCCCTCCACGGCAGTATCTGTCTAAAATCTTTAACTAGGACATTATTTTTTATATAATGTTGTCATTCTTTTTCGATCCTGATCTGTACATAGTCGGTTTGCATTAATGACTTGCCTACGTGTGATAGTGTTTGCATTATAATAATTATGGATTTTATTGGGTTTCAAGTAATGTTTTATTATAATATATTTCTAATAGCAAAAGTATTTATTCACTCAGCGTTTTCTTTACCTCAGCCATGTTGTTATTGGTTTTTATTCACTAGCTTTTTCCCATGAGGCATAGCTATTTGCACTATTGTCACCGTTTGTTCAATAATACCTTGTTTTTCTCGCCTATCTTTCGTAATTATATGGAATTTAGTTCTTGGCCTTCCTTACGACCATGGCGTCGATATGTGGTCAACTGCTGTCACTCTCTTCGAGCTTCACACTGGGAAAATTATGTTCCCTGGCAAATCAAACAACGAAATGCTGCGACTAATGATGGAGGTTAAAGGGAAAATGCCGAACAGAGTAATAAGAAGAGGGGCATTCAGGAACCAGCATTTTGATGATCAGTTCAATTTCCTTTATCACGAGGTCGATAAAGTTACCCAAAAGGTATGGCAGCTTTCATATTCGTAGGATTTTATCTTATCGTTGAGACAAATTTAGCTATTTTGTCTTGTTTAAAATAGGCAAGATTTTTTGCTTTACTTTTTACAACAAAAATGCTGAATCTTGTTGAACTTGAAAATGTGATTGCTTGTATTGTGCAATTTTATGCTTTCCTTATTTCCAGAAATATTTCTTTGATCAAAATGTCTCCTTTTGGCGTTAGCCATAGCAATCTAGCTTGCGAAATGTCAAAATCTGCTTAAATAAGTGGATCTGTATGAAAAAAAAATTCGGCTAACCTCGGTAGCGATTTTTGGCGCTTTACCTTGTATTCAAAAATTGTGGCCTTAAGAACTTAAACTTCTGCGTAGAAAGTCTGATACTGGTAGGCAATTATCAATAATAAGACTGCTCCAACAGCTTAAATATTTTTGAGTGATTTTTATTTGCCTTCTTTAAACCTTTCTAAATAAAGAAATCTTTTTTTTCCAGGCCAAAACTACTGTGATCCGAAATATTACTGGTAACAGAGATCTCTTAAAGGAAATGTTAGGAAATGAGAAGGCTGACGAGATTGTTATAAAGAAAGTGGAACAGTTTCGAAATCTTCTAGAGAAGATGATAATGCTAGATCCACCTAAGCGGATTTCTTTAAATGAAGCTCTTCAACATCCCTTTATTACTGAAAGAATGTCAAATAAACATTAGTTGTTGTAATTTTTATCTCCCACATGTAAATTTCACTTTGTGCACATAAATCATTTCTTTACTCTTTCATAATTCTGGAGTTTCAGTGTCATTCGCCAGGGTAGAACCTAACACTTTATGCTCAACACAGTATCTTCCTGCTATTCATTAGGTACATGCGCTTTAAGGTGTTACCTAACATTTGTTTAGAAAAAAGTCAATTGATGAAATAGTTCTTTTTGATTTGCAAGGTACCAAGTCAATTTCAACTTAGATCAATATCTTTTCTGCCTGTTGGCGACTCATACACAACAAATTTTCAAGATATTCATTACGCTTATTTTACACTGGACGTAGTTATTTTTTTGAAAGTTTTGCGCAATGTCAAACGGACTCGTTTCAAAATGTGTAGTGTATTCGCTCTTGTCCTTTGACTGGCAAAGGCTTTGTACTATTTCATAGGATGGTTATTGTAGAATCTGACTGTCGAATGATTGTCTATCCAATTTTCATATTTTCTTACTGTCAGTCATTGCTTCAGATCACAGTCTGTTTTATTATCCCATTTATTTCATCGGTTTAAGATTTAGCTCTGGGCTTTTCACGAAATTCATACCTTTTCCTATTCGTATATGTATTTAAGCATATATGAAATTTATGCCCATATACCCAAGGGAAATGGTTAATGAGCTTCTCATTTTATGAGCATTAAATAATTCCTGTCCTTTATTTTCATTAAACTCGTT